GTTAGCTAGATATACATATATATATATATATATATATATGTATATCTAGCTAACTCTTTTTATCCATGCTTGCTGTCTCGCTCATTTGTATGCGCTATGCGGACGCCATTTTGTTCTCTCGCCTCCATTTTGGTATAAAAAGTTCGTTCTATGTACAATAGTTGTTTTAAAGCCTTATTTATAAATTTTTGTTGCTTACAGTTTTTTTTATTTTTCCGTAGTTTTTCGTTTTTTATTATTAATTTTTTATTAAAATTTAGTCTGGGATTTTTGAAAAAAAAAAGGATCTTAACTATTTGTTTTAATGCTATTAGACTAGTTTTTAAATAATTCAAAAAAAAAAAAAAAAATAGTCAGTATATCAAATTTTTACACCTCTCATCAAATTTAGGTTGGTTTTATTTCTACTTATATATATGTGTATATATATATATATAGAATTGCTGTCTGCTCACCTTCTTAACAAATTCGTAAGTTCAAATTCATCGATCAGGATCAGCATTTGTTAAAAATCCTTTTTTGTATATACATATATATAGACATTTCTATATGTGTATATATATATATATATAGTATTTGCGTACATCAAAATAAATCAATATCTCTATATATAATAATATATATTGATGTATATACAATAATTTAAATACGTGCATACATAAATATATGTATATATATATATATATATATATATATATATATATATATAGATGTATAATTATATTTAACAGTTTTACTCTAGTTGGTTTTTTTTGCATTCGAAATTGCATTTTTTATTTTTTGTCGTTTTTTCCATACAAATTCATAGCAATTGGTATGCGTGTATGTGTGTGTTCCTATTCGTCTTTGTGTTTGTGTGTGGTTGTGTGTGTGTGTGTGTGTTGGGCTTTCACAATTTTACAGCCAGGTGCGCACATTTGCTACAAAACAAAATTCGTTTTAGTTAGCTGAATTTCAACAAAATTATAAATTTTTATATCAATTGCTAAACAATATCAAAATAAGTGTGTGTAATTATGTGTGTGTGTGTGTGTAAGTGTATATGTGTGTAAGTGTGTATGTGTGTGTGTCTATACATTATCTTTTAAGCTCGTGTGTAAACGTATTTGCTTTGCATTCAGTTTATCTATCTTGTGTGTATTCTGTTTTTTCTGCTCTTCTGATCCTCTGGCTTCTCGCTTCTTGCCAATTGCTATATTGAGTTCAGTTTCTTGATATACACACATTCCGATATATATATATATAGTTCAATGTATATATATATACACACACATATGTGGTTAAATAGATATATAAATATACACATTTATATATATATATATATGAATTGGTTTCACATGCCCTTCATTCCAGGCGTATCTCTTATTACAGCCACATCTTGTAAAATGTTTTCATTTAGTTCATTTCCATTTCTTGACATTGTTTTGCATTCTCTTATGTCAATGTATATTTATATATATCTAAATATATATATATATTTGAAGGTATATATATATGTATATATCTTCATATATAAGTATTCGTATCTGTATATATAATCTGTATCGTATTTCTATAGTTTGGTTTTCCTTACATTCAGCATTTAGATTCATTTTGGTTTCAACACAAACAACAATTACAGCAACAACTATAACAACAATCCTTATACTAGACACATAGAAAATAATCACTATTTGCACTTGAAATTTCTTCGCCCGACTTCCTTTTACATATATATATATATATACAGGTATCTCTGTTTACTTAGTGTCTTCACGTGTGACACTATTTTATTGCAACTTTTCCTCAGCCGTTGTCCCATCTACGACTTCTGTCGCAGCATTCTCAGTTTCCGTTTCCTTTTGCACTTCTCCTTCTAGCTCATCCTCTGCTCTTGACTCTGCCTCTGTTTCTGGTATTGTCTCACTTCCGGCTTCTGCCACGTCGTCCGCTTCCTCTTCCTCTTCCTCTTCTGCTTCTGTTCGCTCTTCTTCATCAGTTTCGGTCTGTGACTCCTCTTCTGCTGCCGCTTCTGCTTGCACTCTCGCCCGCGCCTCTGCCTGTGCCCGCGCATGCGCATGCGCCTGTGTATGCGCCTGCGCGATCGCATAGGCTGCCGCCTGCGTCTGCGCTAAGGCAGCAGCAGCTGCTGCTGCGGCGGCCGCTGTTACCGCCACCTCGCCGGGTGAGGCACATTTGTATTCGACATAGACCATGCCCATTGCACACATCTGACTCGCATCGTGATCATAGTTAACAAAGCTATTCACAATGCTTGCGTTCGCGTAATTATAGTAACCGCCATACATCGCAGTGGTTGTTGTTGTTGTGGTTGTAGTCGTCGTCGTTGTTGTTGTTGGCCACGCTTGGGGCACGAACTGGGCGGGAACTAGGGCATAGGGTGTGGGAACCAAATAGCCATTGCTATCCAGTGCGTAAACGGGCCGCAAAGCGCAGGCGGGCACAGGCAGCAGCTGGATGGATTGTGGTGGTGGTGGTGATTGAGGTGGAAGCTGTTCCTCTGGTAACGTTGGTGGTGTTAGTTGTTGTTGTTGAGGAAATTGGTGCTCATGGAACGGTTCAGGTTCAGGTTGCATGGGTTGTTGCAGTTGCAGCATTTGCTCTAGTTGTTGTGGCAGCTGTTCCAAGTCCTGTTGCAGCAGCAGCTGTTGGTGCTGTTGCATTGGCAATACCTGTTGCAGCAATTGTTGTTGTGGCAGCATTTCCTGGGTTACCATTTGCCATCCGCTTGGCTGTAACAGTTGCTGTTGTGGAACAAACAATTGTTGGTGCTGCGACAATTGTTGCTGTGTAACAAACAATTGTTGCTCTGGAACAAACAATTCATGTTGCTGTTGTTGCGGCAATTGTTCCAGTGGCATAAATACTTCTTCTTCTTGCGACAATTCTTGCTGCTGCTGTGGCAATTGTTGTTGTTGCCGTTGCGGCAATTGTTCCTGCGGAACAAATAATTGTTGCAAACGCTCGTACAGCTCTTCGGGTGGAGTTTGATCCGGATGCAACTGTGACTGTCGCTGTCGTTGCGGCAATTGTTGATGTTGCCGTAAAGCATTTAGCTGGCGTCGCTGTTGCTGCGGAAGATATTGCTGTCGTTGTTGCTGCGGCAAGTATTGCTGTCGATGCTGCTGCTGTTGCTGTGAAAATTGTTGTCGATGGGATTGCTGTGGCCGTTGTTGTGGCCATTGTTGTGGTGTCTGTTGTTGTCGGAATCGTTGCTGTTGTAGTCCAGAATATATGTTGGCGGTGGAATTTCTGTATTCGTTTGTATCACTTGTGCTTGCTGTTGTTGTTGCCAAAGTTGTTCTGGCTGTTGCTGTTGCAACAGTAGTTGTTGTCACTGTTGCAGTTATTGTGATAGTAGTTGCTGTTGTTACAGGTGAAGCTGTTGTTTGTGTTACCGTTACAGCTTCGTCTGCTGCTTTAATATTCATCGTTGCACTTGTTGTAGTTAGTGCTGCAGCTGCAGCAGTTGCTGCTGTTGTTGTAACTGCTGTCGATGCATTGCTATTGCTGTCTAATGTAAAAATTGTTGTTCTTGTTGTTGTTGTTGTTGTATTAGTGTTTGTTGTTGCTGTTGTTGCAGATGCTGATGCTGCTGATGATGAGGTTGTTGTTGCTGTTGTTGTTGTGGTGATAGTTGAATTACTGTATTTGAAGTTACTGTTGTTGTTGTTGTTGATGCTGCCAGTGCTGTTGTTGTTGGGTTGTTGTTGGCCAGTGCCGCCGCCGCCGCCGCCGCCGTTGCCGTTGTGGCTGTGGCTGTTGTTGGTGCTGTTGCTGCTGCTGCTGCTGCCGACGACGTGGGAGCCGGTGCAGTTACAACTGCAACGCTTCTGCCGACGCACAGCTAGCGTTGCTGCTGCTGATGTTGCTGGTGGCGGAGCAACGGCAGGCAACGACGCTGCTGCTGCTGCTGCTGCTGCTGCAGCCGCTCTGCTTGTGGTCGGGGCATTGGCATTATAGTGATTGGCAATGGCAGCATGAACACTTCACCTGTGTGATGCAGCTAATATTGTGTAAAGAAATTAATTTTGATTTAAATAAATTTCTGTGCATGGTTATATGGATGCGGTTTTTGAGATCGTGTTGTTCTATTTGATCTACCTCTGTGTGCCATATTGTGGTGATAGCCGCCGACGCCGCCGCCGACAACCCCGCCAACGCCATGCATCGGCTGTGGGAGACCGACACCGACACCGACACCAACGCCAACGCCGACACCGACACCCATTCCGCCGCCACCTCCGTGCGGATGATGATGCAACTGTTGCATGTGATGGTGTGGCGGTGGTGGCAAACTGTGATGTTGCTGATGATGATGATGCTGTTGCTGCTGATGATGATGGTGTTGTGGATGGTGCTGCTGATGGTGCTGCTGCTGCTGTTGGTGGTGCATCTGCTGTGGATGATGCGGCACCTGCTGCTGCTGCATATGACCGCCCATGTGATGCGGCAGCGGTGGCTGCTGTCCCATATGCGGACCACCGCCAATTTGCGACATAAACTGTGCAGCCTTTGCCTTGCCATGCTCCTCAGCCAGGCGCACCCAAATCGGCTGTGAGCCGCCCTCCGGCACGGTGTTGTTGAGCGCCTTGATGGCTTCCTGTGCTTCCTCGCGCTTATTATAACTGCATGGATGGAAATAAACAGAGCATGAGTATACGAATAGCAAAGAATAAGGCGAAAGAATTGATGAATTTACTGCCTGCCAGCCAGATGAGTCAACTTTTGTTGGTTGTTCGGGAGGTGTACGACTATTTGAATCTGATTTTGTAGCTAGACACATAGAGGAGACTTAATAGATATGCATATTTGTTTTCATTATTGATTAGTTGAAAGAAAGTCAAGTGGTGCATGCTCTAATCTTTAGCTCATTCAGTCCATGAGATCAATGCATTTAGACTTAAGGATAGATAGACTTTTAGCTTTATCGGAATCGGAACAGATATAGTTTATGTAGTAATGCCTGATTCAAAGAATTTAAGGAATGGTAAACCAAGAAGAGGAGTGCTACTGTTACAAACTTTTGGTATAATTGATTAACTGATTGATGAGCAACTTGCTTGGGCATAAGGGCAATACTAAACTATTATTTATTTACTGAAATCTCATTGTTTGCAAATATCCTAATCTCTATAATCTAAATATGCAAATATTTGACAGTATATAAGTCAATAAGAAAACTTTTCATCAATACAACAATACAATAATAAAGAACAATACAATTATGATGTGTGTATAGATTACAATTATAATATCTATGTATTATATATATACATATATGGAGCATCTGCATATTATCGTATGTGGCTTACCGTACAAATGCTACGCCTCGTGGACGACCGGTTAGTTTATCCCGCAAGATGTTACTTTGGACGATCAGACCGTATGGCGAAAATATTCTATCCAGCTGATCATCGTTAATGTTGCGGGACAGATTGATCACGTACAGGTTGGTGTCCTTGATCGATTGCCCGCCAGGTCGTGCATATGAAACCTAAGAGGAGAACACACATTTCATTAGCATTCATTTGCATCTAAATCAATTATACAAAACTAAACAACATTTCAATTCAATAACTGAATGATTGTGTTTTTCTTTTTTTTGTGTTGCAGTTGGACGCACCTTCAAGCGCTTATTACGCACATAAAATCCATTAAATCTTTGAATTGCCTCCTCAGAGTCAGCCTCCGAGCTGTAATCAACGAAGCCGTAGCCAAAACTGTATCCCGTCTGTAAAAAGGAGATGGAAAATTATTAGTTTCTGTTTTTTTTTTTTTTTTTTTTTGTATGCAATGAAGTGCATGCGTGTGCATGCGTGTGTGTGTGTGTGTATAACAATGTGTGAGAAGGACAAGCATAGACAATGGCCCGGGCACTAGGCACCAGGTACACATTATTTGATGTGCAGCTACTTTGCCACCCCCACCCACTGCTGCCACCGAGCGTAGCCACATCGTTGACTCCCTTGGCTCACCTTATAGTCACGCATAATTTTGCATGTATTGATGGGGCCGCAACTGCTGAATAAAGCGAATAACTCACGATCTGTCATATCCTGTGGTAAATAGTTTATGATCAGATTCGTAGCGCTTGTGCGATCCTCAGCAGCGTTGGCGGCGGCAGTGGCTGATGCCGCAGTTCCGCTGGTGTTGCTCTGTTTGTTCTGCTGCTGTTGTTGTTGTTGACGATGTTGCATCTGTGGCTGTTGGCGATGCTGTATTTGCTGCTTATGTTGGTTGTGTTGTTTCTGCTGCTGCTGCTGTTGTTGTTGTTGTTGCTGCTGCTGCTGCTGCTGTTGTTGTTGCTGCTGCTGTTGTTGTTGTTGCTGCCTTTGCAGTTGTTTCTGTAGCAACTGTTGACGTTGCAGTTGTTTTTCTTGGAGTTGTTGTTGCAGCTGTCGTTTCTTCTGCTGTCGAAGTTTGTATGCTTCTTCGTCTTCCGACGATTCATCCGACGAATCTTCCATATTCTGGGAACTTGCCTGCTGCTGCATGTTCGAGTTCTGATTGTTCTTAATATCTGTAACGGTCGATTGTTTCTTATCAGCAGGGTCTTCATCCTCTGTTTTGTCGTCCTCTTCTTCGTCGTCTTCCTCGTCGTCCTCTTCATCGTCGTCTTCGTTTTCGTTATCGTTTTCATTATCGTCCTCATCGTCGTCCTCATCACTGTCGTCATTGCCACCAGTCTCAGCATTGCCACCAGTCCCGTCATCATCATCGCTGGACGCATCCATTTCCTCGCCATCCTCCTGGCTATCACGTTCCAGCACTACATCCTCTGAATCCTATTGGGTATGAAAATAAAAACATTTATAGTTGTACATATATGTATGTATGCATGAATGTGTGTGATTTTGGAAATTTTCGCCACTTACTTTTTCTTCAATATCTGATGATCCTTCTTCGTCGTCGTCTTCTTCTTTATATTTCGCCCTTTGCTGTTTATTGTCCGGTTTGGGCATGATTTCAAATCAATGTTGAACCCACCTTGAATATATATATAGAATATATCAACTTTTATATTTTCCTGCACGTTTTGTATAGCTTTCTTGTGGCCTGAAATCTACAATCTACAACGATTTCGTTTTCAATGTCTCTCATGAAATGGTCACAATGAAATGAAACAATTCCTAAGTGCAAATGTAGACCGACACTGACAAATCACAATTGGAAAATAAAATGAATGTGAAAAACAAAGTGTGCCCTGAAAATTGTTTCAATCTGCAGCCGAGCTGCAAGAACGAAGTGCTTCGGCTCGATGCGATGCAAGACTGATGTGCTTTGTTGTTCGGACGTCACTGTGACAGGACAGAGTCGAGTGCAGGCATTTTATGTACGTTGAAGCCATTTTGCAAGGCTTCGTGTGTGCTCGTCGTCGCTCATGTCTCGAGCTCAATTGCTCGATTGCTCGGCATCCGGGACTCACGAACACACATCCGGGGACTGGCCTGGGCCTGGGCCTAGGCCAAGGCTGGGCCTCGTGCACCGTGCCAGTTTAGCGAACGACCAGACGGCGTGTCGCGACGACCGCAACCGAATGGAATGCAGCAGCAACGCCAGCGGCAGCTAGAACTGAAGAGGTAATCAAATTCGGCTGCTGTTACTGTGGCTGCTGCTGCTGCCTTTCGGGCTTAGAAACAACGCCGATTGCACTTTTGCGCATGTATGCGTTACTCCTCTCCTCTTACACACGCGCGCCTCCTCGCACTCTCTTTTTCTTACACTTTGAATTTGTGTTTGTTTGTGTGCATGTGTGAGTGTGTGTGGATATGTGTTGGTACATACCACTATATGTATGCCCCTCTGTACACTTGTGGCGTTTTAAAACACTAAATTAACAAATTTATGACACAACTACATTCAAATGGGGCGCAAATGTAAAACTATTGCGTGGAAGCGGCACCAAGAGTCTAACAGAAAAAAAAATTACACCAACACATAAATTGACGGCACACACACACACACACGAGCGCACAGCTAGTCTTCGCGGTGAAAAAAATTTTATATGTACATATTTCCAAGCCGTGGCCAGCATTATAAAAAAACAAAATAAAAACCACGCTACCTCCTTTATGTAGAGCAGCCTTTTTAATTAAAAATAGTTGTACTTACTTGGGCTATACACTTGCACTTATTGAAAATTTTATTTTTAATTTGCACTTCTTCCCGTAAACGCTTTCAAAGCGGCGACTTCACAGCAATGTAGTTAGCATGTAAAAAAGATGTACATCGATAGGTAAACTTTAGCGATAACTTCAAGACGATACTTTCCAAGGTATCGCTGCTTATTTTGGAACGCGATATTGCTCATATCGATACGTGTTTGGTGTTTTTCTGTTGTGCTTGTTTGTATTGTGTTTGAACGTAAATGAAAATGAATGAGGTGTTGAGCAAGGAAAATCTATACAATAACTAAATGATGTAGCGTTTGAACAAATGTTGTAAAAAATTGTTGTGTAAAATACTAAAACATGACAGCATAGCATAAATTAGCCCCATTTGTCAATCGATAATTTGGTATTATTTTATGCATAAAACGCCAAAAAGCAAAAATACCAGCAAAGGAAATATTTTGGCAATTGGGAAATTTTAAATTGGGTTTGAATATTATTTGTCTAATCAGCCAGAACGGTTTTATTTAGCATGAATATACACATGTGATGGCATTAATATATTATATGCCATTTGTTACAGCCACACCACTACCAGCTATTGATTTTATTGATTTTTCCATTACCACTTCAATCAGGGGGCTTAGAAACTTTCTATACATATGCATGTATATAAAGTAGGCGCTGCCGCAATGAGTTTGGCATTGAAATATTTTGCTGGTCCACTTGAAATTGTGGTTGTTGTTGTAGCTATTGTTAGTTATATGTTGCACCAATTATAGTTCACCCACGCGCCTATCATTTAAAAATCATCGATTACGATTGTGTAACGTCTTTACGCACGCCGAAGAAAAAAGGAAAGAAAACAAAAATTGAAAAGTAAAAGTGCTGCCCACGCATGTGAATCTTGTCGTTAAGCTGGCAAAGTAATCGTTATCGATGTTTGAATTCTAACTGAATGAAATGAAATGCAGTTGCTAGCGCAATTGTTGTTGGCTGTTGCATTTCCGGCTACAAATGGGCCAAATGCAAATGTCTTGAATGGCAAGAAAGAAAGCCATTTCACACGTCTGCCACGGTCATGGCCAAGCAGTAGACGCCAAATTGTCGCGTAGTTACACGAGAAATAAAGCGAAAATCTGCAGCACACATTGCGATTAAGCAGACACGCAGATACCCAAACGTATAAATAATTAATTTCGTTGCTATTGTTATTGTTTTTGTGACACACTTTGTAGTAACAAAGCGTGATTCAATTGCTCACTCACACACACTCAGTCAAATCTTGACCATTGATGATAAATTCACAGCACTATAAAAACTATTGTCGCACTCGCTTGTCTAGCCATTGTTTACGCAGCATTCAGCAAGCACCAGACCAGACCAAAAGGATACAGACAATATGAAGCCGAGCACTGTGAGTAGTTAGACGCGTTGCATGCGCGTGCCGTGGAGCGGATATAACTCTTTGCCATTTGACAGGGTATTTGGGGCATCGCCTTGACAGCTCTGCTAGCCTGCACGCCCAGCCTGGCCGTTGTCCATGGCATACAGCCGCTGAGCGCTGGGCCTGCTCTGGCCAGCGCCGGGCACGGCAATGGCTATCGCTATAATGGACCCGCTCACAAATACCTGCCACCGGCCAGCGAGCTAACCACTGAGGCCATCACCACCACCGGCCATTGGCAGCCCAATCCTGTGCAGCAGCCCGCTCAGCAGCTCCCCTTCGAGCACACCTACGACAGCAGCGGCAACAGCATCAGCAGCAGCAGCAGCAGCAGCAGCAACAGCATTTCCGATTACCATGGACCCTACCGCATGGAATACTATGAGCGTGCACCGATGGAACAGCGTCAACAGCAACATCAGCAGCATCAACAGCATCAGCCTCAGCAGCAGTTGAATATGAATAATTTTCAATTTGCCGCCGATAATTCAGGTGCTGCTGCTGCTGCAGCAGCTGCTCAGTTTGGGCAAGCTGTCGGTCTATCTGCTGGCGCGCAGCATGATCGCCGTCTGGAGTCTGGTCAGCGAGGTGCTCAGCTGATTGGCCAGGCGCTGCCCGAACGCTATCAGCGACAGCCCTTCGCACAGCCCTCGTCCAGCTATTTGCAAATGCAATCGCATTCGTACGAGCTGCCGCCCAGCTACAGCGTGCACAGGGAGTGGTACGAGCAGGAGGCAAAGCCGCAGCCGCAACAGCAGCAGACTAGCTACTATGAGCAAGAGCAACAGCAACAGCAACAGTTGCTGATACAACAGCAACAGCAACAGCAACAGTTGCTGATACAACAGCAACAGCAGCAGCAACAGTTGCTGCCACAGGTGCATCATCATTTCGACTACTCACAGCAGTTGAGCTCTTTCCATGACCACGCCCACACACAAAACGCCCACGTAGCGCAGCCAAGTCGCGAGTTTCTGGCGCCCTACTACTAAGTATACCCCTCCAATGCACCCAGCTCCACTTCCTGCTCCACACTCCATCACTCCCACCCCTCTCCCCACACCCATTTGAGCTCTGCAAGTTTTATAGATTGGAGCTGCTCCAGCCCAACGCAATGAAAACATTTGCATTTGGCTTCCAAATGCATTTTTCGTATTTCATCAAGCGTCTCTATATTTTTTTTTTATTGATTTTTTTTTTTAATATTATTAAAATATAGACATATTTAATTTGAATATTTACAAGAGTATTAATATGTGAATAAAATAAAGATATTCTACTTAAAGAGCCTAAGTTGAGATTTATTTAACAAATATTCAAAATTTCTTTAAGAATTCTCAAATGGTTTAGGCAGTTGCATTTCTATAGCTATAAGGTATATACATACTTATCTTTGTTTATTTTTTTCATCACATGAGAACATTTTTTAATGAATACAAAACCAAATAAATAAATTCAATTCAATAAAAAAAAAAAAACTTTATAAAGTGAATGGATTATATTATTATCCACTGATATGAGACACTTGAAATTCGATATAATTTGATATATACAAAAAAATGGTATATATGTATATATGTATATATTCGTCCATAGGGGCGTGGAAAATCTAGTCTGTATTCCACAAGTAATCCACATATCTAAAATCATCAAATATTTCAAGAGATCAATGAAATTTTGGTAGAAATCGTTGTTCAATTCGTTGTGAAGAAAGTCTGAAATTTCGTTTAGAATTCCCAACTGGTTTTGGTCAGTCGCATTCGCTCTCGACGGCATGAATGATGTGGATGGAAAACTCTGGGCACGCACAGCTTGAGCTTTGGCTTGAGCTTGGTTGTGTGACCTTGAGCATGGCTTTAAGCAGAGCCATAAATAATCGCAGCTAATTTGATTATGCTCGTTGTTTACGGCAACATTTTCTCAGCGCAACATTTTCATGCGGAGCACTCGGGTTTCCGCATCAGACTCCAAATTCTTGCCGCTAATTGCGGGAGTTGTGTAATTTGTGAACTTGGAATTTGGCTTAAGTTGAATTCAAATCTATTTGAATAAGCGAATTAAATTTAATTTTAAGCTGGGCGTTATTTTATTTTAATTTTTTTTTTAGCTAAATAAGCTGAAAAACGCACGCGTTGAAAACGTTTTTTATTTTTTTGGGTTATTTTTTATTAAATTTTTGTAATTTAATCATTTTTTTCTCGCTTCCGTTATGCAAATTACTTCCAATTGTTGCACGTGCTTTGTAATGCGAAGAAAGGGCAGACAGGGAGAGAGTAGGAGAGCGGGAAAGCGGGAGAGTGCGAGAGAGAGCAAGCGGCGCAGAGCGTGTGCGAGAGAAGGAGAGCAAAAGTGAAGGTAAAACAAACAAAATCAAACATTTAACACCCACAGCCGCAATCGCAGCCAAACAGGAGCGGATCAGGGGAGCTGCACATTATTGGGCCCGATAGAGCAGCGGGGCGATGAATGAGTAAACAAAGCTCCCTCTTGCTATACCTTTAAAAAGGCTCCCAGTGAAAATAATTATCAATAGACACACATATATAGTATTAATACTAGATTATGATTCTAGGTCTATATATCATAAGTCTATACTTGCGCCCAGTAAGGGCGCCAAGCCGCTCCTGGTCCACAAATGCAAAACTTTCAACTTTGAGCAGCTGCAACTGGAGCAACTGCAGCAGCAAAATGCCAGGAAACCAGACAGATCCAATCAAAACGTTTATAGATCATTTGTGTTTAGCCTAATGAAAATGTGGTTCAATGGGAGAAAGTCCATCAGAGATTTGCTGAATATCTGTATAGATATTATGCAAGACCTAAACATCGGGCGTCAAGCGCTTAAATTGAAACGATTTGCGTCAAACTCAATCAGTTGGCTGGAGGGAGAGACAGGGAGTGCACGACGCACAGATACCCTCTATTAAACAGTCGATAGTTATCGACGTATGAGCAGGATCTCAGATAACTCTAACATTTAACTTGTGTAACCTATCAATTCTGCACATGAATCGATAATTATCGATTGTTCAATTCGTATAACTCTTAGTTGAGCTAGTGGAACCCATTTGGAGTGTGTGTACATGCTATATAGTAGCTGTAGCCCAAGACAGGGCATGCAAATGGCTCGATGGGCACACCCACCCACCGCCTATCCGCCCAATTGGAATTCCAATTCCATTTCCATGGATTGTTAACTCGCTCATTATGATTATAATAATCATTACCATTATCATTGGCCTAACAAATTGTTTTTTTTTTTCTCTTTCGGGTCTTGCGACACGTTTTACACAAGCGTCGAAAATAGGCTTTGAGTTGGTTTGAATAGGCCTATTATGAAGAGACAAAGAAGACTGAGGAGAGAGAGAGAGAGAGAGAGGGAGAGAGAGAGAGGGAGCTGAAGATGTGAGGACAGCGGAATCCTCTTCAAATATCTGAACTCACCCAGCAAGCTCTACCCTTTCATTTTCGATTTCCACATTTCCCGCACATCCATATCTTCAATCTATTATTCCTATGCCATCCATTTTCTTCTTCTTTCCTTCCTAGGTCGACTTTTACCCATTGCCGATGATGCAATGAGGAAGTGCATTGAACGGACTGTCGTTGAGCTCAGCCTTGCCCTCAGCTCTCTCGAGCCAAGCCCATATCCATATCCATATCCGTAGCCGTAGCCGTAGCCGTAGCCGTATCCATATCTATTTCTATTTCCATTGCCATTTCCATTTCGCACTTCCCATCTCTCACCTGGATCGCATTACAGCCGGCTCATAGGCTATTTAAGTGGGCTCGGTCACATGCCTCGCTGCAGACACGCCTCACAACTTGAACACAATGCGCGCCCTCAGCGGGCCAACTGGCGTGGCGCTTCTCCTGCTCTGGCTGGTCGAGGCGCAATCGCCGCCCTTCTACTATCACAGCTGGCTATATGCAACGCCCTGGCGGCCCCTGGTGCCGGTGCACACACAAGAACTGGATGTCCAACAGCTGAGTCTGGGCTATACGGGTCCGCAGACCTTTCCGCTTGAGGCTGGCCAGGCACAAGCGCCGACGGCTGTTCGAAGACCCATTCTGCTGGGAGTTCAGCTGCGGACGGCGGGACAGCAGTTTACGTTGCCCTTTAGACCCTCGCCCTTTGCGGGCTACAGCAACGATGTGGAGCAAGTGGAGCAAGTGGAGCAGCGACCGCAGCAGGTGGGGCAGCTGAAGCAATCGGAGCCACCTTTCTATGCTCCCGGCTATCCGCAAGCAGCGGCTGTCGTTGCCTCCCCGCTCATCGGCATGGATCAGGCGGAGCAGAAGCCCCCGCGCTATCTGTACATGGCACCGACCCATCAATATAATCTAGTTAGAAGTTAAGTTGTTACCTATTGTTATTGCTTTTGTTCTTACATTCGTTATAAAGAAAGAAAGACTTTGATCAAATCACTCGCCCTTTGCTTTCGCTTGGTGAAATTAACTCTCGTTCGACCTTGGCAACGTCTCGCTGAGCATTACGCAATCGATTTTGGGTCGCTGCGCTGCGCTGTGCCGTGGCACGAGGTCGCCGATTTGAGCATTGAAGATTGCAGATTATACGGATTCGACAATGGCATCGAGACGCCCCAAGTGGCCCGACAATTGCCTCCACTAACAGCCGCCGGGGCTCGCCTGAAGCGGAGCAAAAGTAATTGACGTAATTGCTTGGCTAGGCAAAGACACGTCGATGCGTTAACTAAACGGAAAGGCGTACCAAATAGTGGGTGCTATAACTTGGTTAATTGTTGTTGTTGTTATACTTGCATGCATTAATGTGTATCTTACTATATCAGTAATATATATAACAACAATCTGCCTACCAACTGAGGTTGGTAGTAAGAGATCTTAGAGATCTTAGAGATCGAAACCTAGATCTATTTGAAATCTAACTCTTACTGCTGATAAGATCTGCTCAGTTGGAGAGTTCTGGTGCCCCTACTGAAATGAATGAAAAGAATTCCTATATAGATCAGTCATGATTAAACTACCTGATCTATTCGCCTCTCATAATATGATCTGATATGATCAGAGCTCCTTATCAGCTTGTGCTATAGGCAAAATATCCGCAGGCAAAACTAATCGCTAGCTTCTCTCCTCTTATACATCATTTGATTCTCATAACAAACCTAAAGAAATGTCAGATACAGATAGAATTTGGAAATCCCAAACAAGTTTTATTTATATTTATTTACTGTTACAGTCAAGTCGGATTGCAATATCTCAAACTTAAGTAAATTAGGCATTCATCTGAATATCTTATGTCCTATCACATCTCCTAACCCAACGATCTGTGATCAGCTCTACAGTCCAGTTGAGGTATGGACCCCATCTATCATATATCTACTATCCAATTGAAGAGCAGTACGGATTGAGGGCATTGCGATTCAAGCGATCCTAATCTACGTAATTCGCTAATGAGCTCGATTAGTGGCATTAGCGAGCTAAGTGAAGACCTTTCGACTAGCCTCCAATTGGGAAAGAGGCCTTAAAGGCTCCATCAAAGTGTATGACTCGTAAAGCTAATTGGGTCTATTAACAGCAAATGGAAGATCATTAATTGATTGGCTGAATGATTGATAAAATGATTGACTGATCAAAGATGGCAATGCATCAATATAAGACACAACCAGGGAGCAGGCCCAAGTAACGGTTAACGGTTAACGGCTATCGTTTGTGACAAGTGGATTACGAGGCCTTGGCAAGAAATATTATTACGACATTGTCGCAAAGAGTTTAATTAAAAGGGGGAAGATTACGAGAACAGGCAACCCGAACTAAATTGTGGTTTGAAGGAAATAACAAAAACAAAAACGAAAGGCAAACACAATCTGTTACAAATTTGCAACAGCTGACAAAATAGCAACAACAACAACAACAACAGCAACAGCAACAGCAACAGCAACAGTAGCAAATGAAAACATTCATCATCAATGGCAATGACAGCAACGACAACAACAACAGTTCCACTGGTAAAGCGGTTAAATTACCGTTAACGCAGCCAGCGCCAGCAACAGAAGGACGTGGGAGAGGGAAAGGGAGAGCGGCTGCTGTGGGGTGGGGTGCGCCCTGTCATCCGCACTCACATTCATCAAAATGTTACTTGGAATTAATTGCAATTCACGCATAAGCCAAAAGACTGGGAAAGCTTGACAACAAAATAAAAACAAAACAAAAATAAAACCAAAAACCTAAATGAAATCACTAACCAGAGAACACATAGACCGGACACGTAGTGTAAAGTGTTTTGCAC